ATTGGTATATTCAGATCAAGTTGTCTCCAATTTTTTATCCTCCTTTTTTCTACTTTACTGAGTAGTCAAACGCTCACTGGTTTTGACATTCATTTATAATGATGTCAGTAGAGTACATTTTGTACAGGATTTTGTATCATGGTAGACTATGTTTATAAACATATTAATAAAAATGTTTACATGTACCACTACCTATTTTAGTGACTTGTTGGGCCTACAGGAAGACCTATTTTTAAATGTAGAATTAATCTCATGTCTTGAACAAATTCAAGACAAAGACAGGCCCTAACCATTTTAATTAAAGCCACAGGTAATTGAGGCAGAACAGTACTGATTGAGTTGACTTCGCACTCTTAGCTGCTGTGAATGTTGCAATAATGGCTAAATTGGATTGTGTGTCAGCTCCACAAAACCTGCTTGTTACCACTGGTCATAAAAGAATGTTGGGTTTGTTTGAAAAATTGTGCTTTTTAGTGGTATCAAATTGTTATAGATCTTTTCATAAGGGCACTTTAGAGGAATGACTTTATAGCTCCCTTTGGTCTGTCCATTTTTAAAAGGAATCAGCATCAATTATGGTTGATGATAGAAAAAGTATGTGAAAAACTGTCATACCTTTTGAAGAAAACATACAAGCAAATTATCAGGTTGTAACAGAAATTAGAAAGGAGTGAGTCAGTTGGAGGCTCTAGTAGCCCATCTCCGTAAAAATCACTGCTTCAGATTGGAGTCATACAAATTGTCTTTAGAATGCATATAATAAGTTCTGTATGTATATAAAGCCAGTTGTCAGTTGTTATTGTAGTGATCATTCCATTATAAGGAATTGCATGAACTCTCTTTGATACTCAAAGCATTTTAAATAATACACTTTATTTTGTGGCCACTCTTGGCTCTCTGACCAACTTTTTAGTTATAGTTTTGAATCCTTATAAAAAAGTTTGCCAAACACTAACCGTCCTTCCCAGCAATGCAGTGGACTTTGCATTCATAAGAAATCAGTAACAGGTAGACACTAGATTTTGCTGATGTGCAAACAAAATTATAGTTGCTGTAAACTGTTAACTTTGCTTTTCAATTTCTTTGGGTTTTGAATTGAGCCATTCTTGTATCTTATTTAGAAATAAGTTGTCGCCATCAAAGAAGTATCTTAAATTAACTTTGTCTTATGAGGTAGTTTTATCCGGTTTTCCATATTCTTTCTTGGTGTGCATTACAGGAGGGACGACAGGGAAGTTTGGGACTTATTTGAAAAAGATAACTCATATTCTGCAGATTTTGGCAATAGGACATTTGAGCTGGGACTGTTGCATAGAGTTAGGAGCCACTGAACTTCTAGCATATTCATTTGTGTTAGGCATCTAATGCCGGTGATGGATTAAGCAGATCAGCATCCTTCCCCGTCTGCTTCCACTAATTTAAAGTGGACCAAGAAAATCCCTCTCCCTCAAGGAGAAATTACAAATTTGAACCGTTCAGAGATTCAAGACTCCTTGTAAGATGGCCTGGAGAATAGGAGGCAGGCCAAACAGGCCAAGCAATGGGGTCCTGCTTAGAATGGAGAGCTTGATGTTTATGAAAAAAATGGTGTGTGTGTGTGTGTGTGTGTGTGTGTGTGTGTGTGTGTGTGAGAGAGAGAGAGAGAGAGAGAGAGAGAGAGAGAGAGAGAGAAAGAGAGAAATTGCACTTGAGAACTGAAAGTATTCCCCTGCAGAGCCTGGAGCCTGGGTTGCTTTGCTCATCTGAATATGACCCTAAAAAAGGATATATATACTTTCTGTCTCTGACTTGAAGTTGGATTGCTCAGCCTTCAGAGATCTTAAAAGAAGGTTCTCGAAATCCCGGAAAAATCAGCACTAAAGCCTGTAGTTGGGGAATCCAGCCCCAGTAGTACTGAGTTTTTGTTCTGTCCATGTGTTTTAGAGATGACCAGAACTGAATTGAAGATATATGTGTGTCATCTCCCCTGCCCCACCCTGGAGATTCTTGAATTTGTGCAGGGAACCTGTGGAAAATTCAACTTATTTTTCATAGGAAGTGGAGCTCGGCGTTAGTAACCTGGACGTCACTGTATGGCATCTACGTGGCTGATACCAAGCATTAGTGTAAATGGTCACACCTTAGCTGTTTTGTGTCTAGCCCCTACTCCCACCTTTCTGACATACTTCCTCAACTTGGCTTCCAGATCCCCTCTTTCTTCTCTTCTTAGTTGTCTGGCCATTCCTTCTTAGTTTCCTTAGTTTATTCCACCTCAGGGCCTCTGTCCTGGGGGCCCTGTGTCTAGATAGACTCCAGATGATCCTTTGGAATACCCTGGATAGGATGATTCCAAAGTGTGAGTCTCCAGCCAGGACTTGTCCCATTGAAGAGATAACTGTCTTCTTCATTTAGATTTCTAATAGGCATGTCACATTTAACATCTAAAACCAAACTCCTGTGTTTTCCATCTCCTTATGGCAACTTTGTACTAAATCTAATACCTCACTTTCTTTTACATTTTATTTCTAATCCATCAACAAATTCTTGAGTTCTACATACCTTCAGAATGTGTGCAAAATTAAATCACTTCTCTTCTACCTACAGTGACTACTGAGGTCTAAGCTGCCATCAGATTCTGCCTGGATAACTGGAAGAGCCTCCTAGCTGGCATTCTTACTCCTGACCTTTTTTCTCTGGATCATACCATGATGGATATTCGCCAGGGATTCATTATGTAGCAACAAGACGAATCCTTGCTTATTAAAATTCCACCTATTTTTCAAGAACCAGTTCATAGGTTTCACTTCTTTGTCCCACACCTGAGCGTCATCTCTCCCTTCTATGGAATCCTACAGTAATTTAGTTTTTAGGCTTCCTAACACACTCTTCCTTTGATTTAACCGTTGGTCTCCCTTTTATCACTCCATTAGCTGGGCTATTCCTCAAGTGGGGAAATCTTATTCACTTCACCTTTCTCTCCTAAAATGACATGTTGCCTTTAGTAGGTAGCTTCTGGCTGTTGACTGACTTGATGTTTGCCTTTATGAACTCCAGGATTTTCTCTCCTTATCAACCTTTCTAGCCACCTTCCAATTGAAAGGAATACCAAATCCTAATCAAATATGAAAAATCAGTAGACATAATGGACCACAATCTGACATTTTTAGTGAGAATTTAAAGTTCATCACCAAGTTTATGACTCCATTGCAGGAACTTCCAATTAAAAATGGTATCCATGCAGCACTATGAAGTTTGCAGAATGGGGTGGTGGTTTAGTCTCTTGACTCACTTTACAAACATACATTAATAAAGGGGCTTTGCTATCTCATTGAATTTCATTTCCTCAGTAATAAGTATAAGCAATTTATCTACTTTCTATATGCTCAAATTTTGTATACACATAATTTGAGCATATAGAAATTACTTTTTGAAGCACATCACAAATTTTCGTCATATTAAAATGTGTTTGGTACATGGCTTGAGCAATGAACTCGGTTGAAAGTTAATGCGTTTTGTAGAATATTACTGAATTTAATGCGCTTAATAGTTAAAAATATCTTCCCCCAAATATGACTCACTCCTCTGAATATATGATTGAACAGTGTTTTTTGAAGGTTACAGTCAAGTGTAAGAAAAAATGAAATAGGAAAAGATCTAATAAAATAGTTTCAAAGCATAACAATGTTATAATGAGGTCTATTATCTTGAGATGAAGGAAAGAGGGAAAATGTAAACTACTAAGCATTCAAATAATGTCAATGTGTACTTCTTAAGTACAAAATAAATGAATTCACAACTATATTACCTTGAATATGTAGTTATCTTAGTTTCTACACAGAGAAGCTTCTGAATTATCTTATTTTTTTCAAAGGAATAAAATTTTATTGTGATTTTAATTTGTTTTATTATAACTTTATTATAATTAAGTTCTATAAAAGTACATTT